AACTGACGGAGCCGAAGCTTCGTGCCCACCTGTTCGAATCAACCGTTCTCCGGCGCTCTGTTACGCAGCTGAGACGTGGGCCAACACTGTAGCCACGTCGAAAGCTTTACGGAGCACCCACAGAGCGCTAGAGCGTAGTCTTCTGAAGATGACACGACACAAACAACATCTTTTCGGACTTCGCAGTACGGATATGAAGAAAATGTCCTGTCTTCGTGATCCAGCGGACTACGTTGCGAAAGCGAAACACCGGTGGGCCGGTCACATTATAAGAAAAACAGACGACAGATGGACACTAAGAAATCTGAGTGGATTCTTCGCGAAGTCAAACGTCCCCGAGGAAGACCACCAACGAGATGGGCAGACTGTTCGTGGAACGGATGGACCAGCTGAGAAATCAGCTGGATACGATTTTTGCACCTGAAACTCGTGGACGCAGCCACCGACGACGACCAAGAAGATCGTGGATGTGTGAAGCGAGGGACAGGGAACTATGTCAACTTCTGTACTGGGGCCCGCAAGTCACGTAAGGACGGGCCATCTAAGTATCTAAGTAAGTATCTAGCTTTGAAATTTTGTGAGTATAAGACTGCGAGGACGCAGAAATTTGCCTGTACTAAACCCGTTGTCTTCCCTGCAATCGTGCATCTTCTTAGTAGGGCCTAAGTCAGTCTACGGCGCCTGAGCGCGATATCAAGCGAGCCACCACTTGTTACTGCGGGTTATTTTGTAGACATGATCAAAAATGCGTGTTTTCAATAAAAAGGGCCGCAACATTTGGTGGAAGTGGTCATGTGGTTAAAACAAGTGCGATACATGCTGCGGGTACGGTTTGAGACGGCAAATTTCACCATTTTTGCTATATCGCCGGGACAATCTTTAAGAGCGGCTAATATAAAAAAAATGATGATGGGCGCTGTCAAGAATTTTTCCATGCAAAGAAAGGTATAAATTAAATACTAACAAGGGAAGGAAGGTTAGTCGGAGTGGCTTTTTGAGATGAGATGTACAGTGTCTTGTGGAGCTTGGAACTCTGATCCTATATCTAATTTGTTATCTGTCGCGGGCTTCTAGGCGAGGAGTTATGAAGGTTTTTGTGAGTAAAATTTTGAATACAAGACTACCGTAAAATCAGTCCTACTTTCCTCAACGTTCAAATGAGGCAGCAGCAAGTTGGTGTGTTTGAATCAAGAATATATTAGGTTGTCCCGAAAGTTCGTTCGCACCATTTTCAAAAAATCATAACTTCTTTGCCTTATAACGATTTTGCGCATTCTAAATTTTGTTAGAAAGCGTAAGGCATGTAGTTTCCAATAGTTCCTTGTTTGCTTTCCAGCATGCTCGGATTGCAGAGATAAAAATGAAAGAACGAAAACATTCGAAATTCGAAATTTTTGAGCAAAAATTCTAAAAATCTAGAAGCTGCGTGATAAAATTCAGAAAAGCCTTTATCCTGATTTTTCTTATATTTGATTACTAACTGAATTTGGGTTGATCGAGCTCTTCTTTCAAAAGTTATGATTTTTTGAAATAGAATGCCGAAAAATCAATTTCGAAGGAATTCTTAGGAAACTGATTTTCCGGCATTTTATCTTAAAAAAATCATAACTTTTGAAAGAAGAGCTCGATCAGCCCAAACTTAACTCAATTAGTAATCAAATATAAGAAAAATTAGGATAATGGCTTTTCTGGATTTTATCGCGTAGTTTCTAGATTTTTAGAATTTTTGCTCAAAAATTCCGAATTTCGAATGTTTTCGTTTTTTCATTTTTATCTCTGCCATATGAACATGGCTTTTGGAAACCACATGTTTTACGCTTCCTAATAAATTTTAGATTGCTCAAAACGGTTATGATGCAACGAAGTTATGATTTTTTGAAAATGGTGCGAACAAACTTTCGGAACAACCTAATATATGGCATCGAGTAACCTAACTATCATTTAAGCACTAGAAAAAATGTTACGACTGATTTTACACTAATCTTGCGCTCAACTTTTTACTCAAAAAACTTTGTAACTCCTCTCCCACAACCCCGCAGCGGATAGCGAAAGCAGATTTAGAATCAGCGTTCCAATCTCTGCAAAAAATTTACATCTCATCCTAAAAGGCACTTCGACGGACCTTCCTTCTCTTGTAAATCAAATAAAATACTTTAGCACCAATATCTAAGAAAAACAATAATTTTTGGGGAGTAATAAAGAGAGACAAATTTTCAGTTTTTGTTTTTTTTTGAAGAAAATTGAAGATCTCATCAGGATATTCCCAAAAATATAGAAAACTTGTATCTTGTTCCTGCTGCAATTAGCTATTCACTGACCCTTTCTAGCCGTCTGCCCCCTAATTGCGCAGCACTATCGTCCGCAGAATTATGTCACATCTCGTGTCCGTAAGTTAGTCACGAGCAACATATGCAATTTGTCTTTGCGTTCTCCTTGCAGACACACTGTTTGCCTATGCCGTGCCGACGGCTACGGCTCCTGACCAATCGCTCGGCTGTCTGCTCACCAAGCGTTTTCAAAACACTGGTAAGAGAAGGGTAGTAAGATTAGCCCACGATTTGTTCTACGTACCATCATATCGCGCATATATTTTGATATAAATCGCTCCAATCAGAAAAGTGTATGAAGTATTTGGCTAGTTTTCCTATATCTCTGGAAGCGAAGATTAACACATTGACGATCAAAGCCTATGATAAGAGACAGGCGCGCGACGAAACGCGACAGAAACGTGTTCTACGTACCATCATATCGCGCATATATTATGATATGAATCGCTCCAATCAGAAAAGTGTATGAAGTATTTGGCTAGTTTTCCTATATCTCTGGAAGCGAAGATTAACACATTGACGATCAAAGCCTTTCTTGGACCAGCCAACATTTTTCAGATAAAGTCAATTCACAATTCCATATACAGTACACCTACAGTAGCGTTGGAATGCTGGCAAAAACAGTAGAGGTTGTATCTAGATTTAGCATAAAAGAAAACTCCCAGAGTTGGTTTTAAACAAATTAGTAGCCATTCCACTGGGAGTCATGGTGTGCCAAGCCTTGACATACCATGCTTGTCAAGCGGTCTCTATAAGAGTATCATGATTACAGATTTGTACAAATAATGAAACTTTGATATTGGGTAATACTTCCGTCTCCAAACTCTCGGCAGCTACAGCTCACATCTTTTTAGAGTGCAGTAGGGACTACATATTTCTAAATTAGAAGTCAAAGCTATCATAAGCAAACTCATCCATTGGACTCATAGCAGACTTATGTATTAAAAGTTCACATTCGGATTTTTTCGGAGGAAATTATATGAGAGCTCGAATACAGACTTACTCTTTCCTTGATTATTCACTGACTGGGGTACCCAGCATCGCTCGATCTCTGTCAATATGACATCGTAGAACACATCAGTTTCATCATCCGTCCACTTCTGCATAGCCCTCTGCCCGTTATCGTAAACTGTGTGCTTTGTCACCATCCCCCTTCTGCCCTGCACCAGTTTCAAACTCGGTAGATAGAAATTTGTATTGATGGAATCGAAAAAAGATAAAGGTTCCACAAATGATTACCATTTTTGTGATCAGCATGCTCCAATCCATGTCAACTCTCAGCCTAAAAATGAATTTCAAAATAAAGGACAAAACGATCGATGTTGATCGCATCAAAAAGTAGCCTGCACTCGCTCCGCCCCGAACACACACACACACACACACACACACACACACACACACACACACACACACACACACACACACACACACACACACACACACACACACACACACACACACACACACACACACACACACGCACACACGTGGATGGACATGGATATGTACGGACATACATACGGACGTAAGATAAACAAACATTCAGCCCTTCATACGAGTGTCTCAAAGAATGTGCACACTATTTGACCGTCAATAACTCTCTTGCATTGATGTCTTCCGCCAATCTTCAAATATCGTTGTAGTTTGGCTTCAACCTAGGTTTACAGTAAGGAGCGAATCACTGATCCCTCTTCATTACTCAGATTACCGTAGGAGATTGATGAAAATTTTAGGCTTAGGGGAAAACAAGCTCCTCAAAAGCGTTTATACTAGGCAAATCGAACTTGCTGTTTTCGAGTATGAAGTTTGAACTGTATTGTGATGCTTCTTTCCTGAGTTACTTTACGTAACAGCTGTTTTGCTAGTGTTCGTCAAAAATATGTTCTTTATACAAAAACCAGAAAAACCTGTGAAAATTTGTGTAGTGAAGCGAAAAACCTTGTTACAAAATTTCTCAGGTTTATTGAAAAAATTCGTCAGACTGTCTTTTACAGTGGTTTCGTATGGCGGAAGTTCCTGCTGTAATCCCATAGTAACGGAGAGCGAATGATCGGTGCTTTTTTCCATTCTGTAAATTTAGGTCATAGCCTGCTCTACAGAATGGTTTCTAAAGATTGGCGAAAGAGATTGATGCTTTAGAGTTATTGACGACCAAACAATGGACACAGTTTTTTGGGAGACCCTGCATGAGATTGAGTATCGAGCTCAAAGAATTATCAGATTCATATGAGCGTGCTTCTTAGTCATCAATAAAATGGTTCTGTACAAATTTCTAACTGAGCTGCTCACCCGCTTCACCGTGTTTCGGAAAGCGTTCTCATGCAGCACCATCCCTGATGTTCAGTCGCAAATTTCTGTGGCGTGTTTGGGCTGGTCGCTTTTGGAAAAAATCCTCCGCGACTTGTACAACGGAAATTAGAGTATTTTAATTTAAATTAAATTTTGATATTGTTTTTATTCATCTTAAAATAAGCTGTAAAACTTTTTGATCACTTTTTATGCTCTAGTGATACTTCAGAATATTTTCAAAAAATTGTTTGCAGCCATAGGGGACTCTTTTTCCAAAATCCTCGAAGCTAACAGGAGCTTGGCTCGAAAACGTTAAACTCTTGCTGCGAGGATTTTCATGTGTGCATGGTAAGAATTCAACTAAAATCAATAATAACTTTACAGATAATCCTCTCCTCGGAATGGCGCCGAGTCGCATGCAAAACGTACATGGAGTATAGTTGGTTTTGGGGACGCTATTATGATTACTTCTGCTGTGCTTTTAATGAGTATGCTCATGAAATAGTTGTGTAGAGGTTTCTGATGCAGGTTTTGAGTACATTCCAAAGCAAGAGTTGTCCGAAATTTCTGCTTCTTGCGTTCACTCCTTTGTGATGAAATTCTTTGAATATCTGACGCTTTGATGACTCCTTGCAAAATCTGCATTTTTCGTTTTTTTTACATTGTTGCAGTTTTTCATTAAAGTTTTACACATGTTTACAAGTGAAAACGCAAAAAAAAACTGACGCCGTTGAGGTTTCGTCAGGTGAGATGACGTTTAAACACCTTCCCATGCTATCAGCATGCAGAGGAAAATGATAGTTGGTCATCCTACCGCGTTCAATCGATCTTTTCAACTTACGTTCAATCGAGATTAAAAAAACGAAACGCAGAGAAGATCTTCGCGAATTACTCTTGCTCAGACAGCTGGAAGCTCTCAGCGTGCGGCCGTAAAGCTTCCAGCAATCCTCACAAAAAATTACCATGCCTCATAGTTGCCACCGTAAATCCTCGCTGAATGCCATGTGGCTTCCACATCACTGCCGCGTATAGCAGCTCGCTCAGGTCTAACACAGCAGCACGGACGGCCAGTAAAAGCAGCCCGCTCAATGCCGTTGTAGAAACTCACATACCGCCGCTTATCGCCTCGCGCTCATTGCCGTCAAGAGCTCGCTATTCTCGTTTTTGATTGTGCTAAAATTAGCGGTTGGGGAACATTTTGTTAAAAGACCTGCGCGAACTACTGTTATTTTTACATTCTACTGCCAATCGTTGCTGCTGTAGCCCGTAAATAAACGTATCAGGAAAATCCGCTCTTTTCGGAATCTTACTCCTTCTTATACCAGCATCATCAATCGCTCAACAATACGACTTCAATTGCCTACCTACACTGCAACAAAACACGTAATGGCAGCTGAACCAACGAACAAAATACAAATGACAGGAACGAAATTTAAACTCAAGTTCAAGGCAATGTGGCCCTAACAACTAGTTGAAATTTCGATCATTCCGTAGACTTATTTCGATGTGCGTACATATATCACTGGACCAAGAGCTTACGAAAGTTTCCGTGCACGGTATAACTGATTTTGTACTTCTCTCACTTGGATCACATGATCAATTCCCGGTGCTTTTCTTCTTCGCTTCTGAAAATTTAATAAGTCACTTTTTGCATGGGTGTCCCAAAAATATGTATACACTTTTGGTCGTTAATATCTCTCTTCCCAAGGAGTCTTTCGCCTACCTTAAGGCACCTTGTAGAGCTGGCTTTAACTTGGGTTTACAGTATGCAACGAACCAACGATCGCTCTTCGATACTGTAGGATTATGGTAGGAACTTTTGGCTTGCAGCGTCATTGTGGACTAGTCGTGTTTCAAAAAAGTTTCTAAATTTTGAAAAGTGGTGTGCCAGGGATTTTACGCGCGCTGATTTTATTACTCAACTTTCTAGAATTTGTAACTGTAGGAATTTCTTTGTTAGTTTGTAACTGTAGGAGTGTAACTGTAGTCTCTTTTCAAACAGGTTGATTGCAATTTCAGGGAGCATCGTAAAACAGCCATTACGGTGTGCGAGGCATAAGTCATGAGGAAAGCATTGCGGTCAAATGCCAAGCTTGTATTTGTTCTAGCGACTTTAATTAGCTTAGTGTAAGAGTTTCGAGGTTGTTTGGTTTGCTTTCTAAGGCGAAATAGGGTCCTTAATGGCTCAAACCCTTCTTAAAGTTCCTACCGTGATCCTACAGTAGTGAACGAGGATAGCTAATTCGTTCCGTACTGTGAATCTGAGTTACAAAGTGGTATCTGAAGGCAGGCAAAGGACTTTTAGGAAAGAGAGATATCAACTGGACAGTGTATACATACTTTTAGGGCACCCTGTATTATGAGAATTTAATATTTTGAAACCTATTCACAGTATGTGACAACCACTGCTTTTCTTCCAAATCACATTCATAAGAACTATATCTCTCCTAAAAAATACTTACTGATTCTAGAGTCTACTAACCAAAGTTTTTAATTTGGAGCTCACAAACCAAGCTGCAGTCCTTTCAGTATTTCGGTTTTGAATAAATCTGAATCGGCTAACAGCTTATTCAACTTTTCTTCCGGTCATCTCCGATTTCACCAACCGCGATGTAGAACTTAGAAGGTTTGTGTACAGTCTTTTTCAACTCGAAGTAGGTAAAACATTCCAAAGAGCAGCGCGTCCGCACTGCCACTGGCTCAGCGGGATAGATTGGAATGAAAAGACGCAAACTGCAAAGCGGCGCGAATCCTTGCGATGCGAACTCCCGCCAGTCCAATTTCTGCCTAAACTGAGTTGAAACGTACTATATTGGTCTTAACAACCATTTTTCAAAGGAAGATATCCTGACATTTTATGCATCGCTTTTTTCCAAGCCCCAATTGAGGTTTTTCTAAGCAGATCAGATCCAGGGCAAGATTTGCAGTTTAAGTCTGCAATGCTAATGTCTGCACAGTACTTGGTATAATCATCTACTCATAAATCATCTCCATTGCCGCCGGTAGACTTCGCAAGCGTCGTTCTTCATCGGCCTTGCAATCTTTATAAAGCGCTCTTGGATTCGCTGAGGAGGCTGTCAGCTGCGAGTCATCCAATGATCAGACGTATTCGAACGCAAAACCCAAATCTGCTCGAAGATAAGCGAAATAGGCTTGCAAACATTTGATAGCACACGGTTTTGTTTCTTTAAAGCTCCATTTCAGCTCAGAAGTCTTATTGCATTGGTAGTGGTATGACAGCCAGTAACAACTATGCTTCTTGATGGTAGTGCTTCTGTCTTCCAACTCCCTGTCAAGATTATTTATAGAATTAAGGCGTGATTGCCCGTTTGTTATCCATGTGTTGCGTGACTGTAAGTCAAAAGCACGCTCCAGCCGATCGTGTTTCGCTGATTGTATCTCGCTTCGAAGGACTTCTGGACTAACGTAATAGCATAAGTAACAGTACACCGCCAAAAAGTAAACTATGGAGTTTAGCATCGTATGGTCAGGTTATCGAAATCCAGAGAAAAATTCGTGGTCAAACCTTTGGACCCAAAAGGCAACTTCAATTTAACGAAGTCCTGCGAGATTTTCGACATTTAGGATGTTTACATACGAAGATTTTTAACTCGTACACAGCTTTGTTGAAAGCACGATTACGCTTTGTGTTTGAGATCGATGCAGAGCTTAAATCGTGCGTTACTCCGCTTATGCAGCATATAAGCTCAAAGCTTCTCTGCGGATTGCTTTGATGTTTCGACCTGATACAATCTTTGCTTAAAAATTCCAATGGTAGACGATGTTGGAGTGCGACTCAGTATGACTTGCTAAAGGGCAAGCACAAATTTCGACTTCTTTTCAACAATTAGACGCTCGATGTGCTCGTCGTGCTCATTTAACCTAGATAGTCTTGAATTACCCTGTGATTCGTGGTATACTCGCGAGGATCCAGAAGCCGATAAGGTTATTTGAAGGCGCACACACAGCTGAGAGTCGCTCGAGAAAATGCTGGCACGGTGCCTGTAGTTGAACGGTGGGGCGTCAGCAAGTTTTAGACGTGTAACTGATGCTTTCTTTATTAGTATGAGAATCTCTCAGAGTTTGAAGAAGACATTATCTGAAGGGAAGGTAGTTGCGGCAATAGCAACCAAGAAAAATCCAACAAAGCGACACTATATATTTATCGATACTTTGTACGTGATAAATAGTCATATAACAGAAACATATGCATGACCATTAAATTCAGTGTAGACACAATGTCTTTGGATGGATAAAGTTAGACGAACTTGAGTGGTTTTTATGTAATTTGTAAAAGAATATTATGCTCTCGAGTGGCGTTAATCAGCCCTATCCCTATATCCCGTAGAGGATGCTCGCTATAGTGATTATGGTGATCTAAATCTTGCAATTGGCCATAGCATTTGTGCTCATTTAGGAGTACTCTTGAGAATATAGCGTTACGATTACACAAGAACAATAATGTGCAGAAAGCTTCAAAATTATCACTCTTGATGTGTATCATGTCTTGCCTACTGTGCAGAGATCTCCGCCAGTACCCGAAAACTGGACGGATTTCTGTTGATCACAACTCCGAGCTGAAACGGCACTTCTAAGAAAAGCTACCTAACTTAGCTCGGCCTTTTGGCAAGGGACACGTATATTCTGAATCAACTTCAAACATTGATTGCAAATATGCTAGCTGCAGCGCACCATTCCGAAGCGAGTTACGGCGATTTATGGGGTTTTTCCTGCGCAGTATTAACATATTCATCGATTCACTGGCATCACGGCAACGTCATCTTATTGTTAGGTTAATACACTTGCGTATTCTTTTTAGTGAGAAAAGATTGGATTTGTGTTATTCCGATATCTTAGGACCTTTTTCTTGCAGATTTTCACTTATAGGCAGTCTTCCCGTGTTCATGCCAATTTTGCGCAGAAAAAAAGCCCATAACTCGTTTCGAGATGGTGCGCAGCAGCTAGGAACAGCATATTTGGAATCAGTGCTGGAAGTTGATTTGGAATATACAGGGTGTTTCAAAAAACGTACCTCCTGTTTGATTGTAAATAAGTTTATTCTAATGATGTGTTTCGAGAAGCTTTGGGTATCATTTTGTAGAGCGAGGCTCACCTTAGATCTACAGTATGGAGCAAATCATCGATCGCCTTTCATTACTGTAGGATTACGGTAAGACCTTCCAGCATATGGAACCATTGCGAAATATACCATCACAAAATTTTTTTCAAAAAACCTGAAAAATCGTGTAGTAGGGTTTTCGCACTGCTGATTCCACCTAACAACTTCTTACAGTGTTTCCAGTTTTTTTGACGGGTGGTAATTACATTTCTGACAAAAGCTTGGGGTTGAGTTATTACGATTCAGGAACTTAGGAAAAAAGCATCACAGTAAAATGGGAGTCTCAAATTCGAAATCAACGACTCTCATTACCGTAGTGTAAGAGTTTTTGGGTTGTTTGATTTTGTTCCGAGGCAGAATATAGCATACAATGGCCTAAAATCCTTGTCAATGT